GAGCCAGGGGAGGAGAGGGTAGGCAGAGTCCCTAAGGATGTGGGTGGGACAATAACTGTACTCTCCAGGGCTCCCAACAATGTGTCCATTCCTGGCCTTGTGGGCACTACCCTCCCAGCTAGTGAAGATGTGGGCGATGCACTGAGAGTGGCTGAAAATGCTTTGTAGCATAATGGAGAAAAAAGCCTTCAGGTTGATGAACTCCATGGTGGCTTGGGGTGGACAAAGGATGGAGATGTGGGTGCTTGCAACAGAACCTGGGGTGCTTTGTCACTTTAGAGAGAAAGAGCCTAGGGAGAGCCCTGCTGGGCAGGCAGGACACAGCTGCAACTAGGTCACCATGGAGACCAGTTGATAAGATTAATTAGCAGGCACCTGCAAGCAGTCCAGGGGAGTCACCTGACTGGAAGGGGGCAGGGCCCTGGGAGAGATACAAGGCAGGGCCAGATTCAGAACAGGCAGTCTGGCCATAGAGGCTGAGCAGGGACGAGCTCTCTAGAGTTGCCTGTGACCGAAAGGCAGATTGTGAATGTGCTAGGCCTGGAGATAGCAGAAAGTGAAGCTGAAGGCTAGTAACTCATTTAGACCAAGGTTGGGGTAGGAGTTTAGTTATAGCCAGAAGGGCTTGTGTTTGTATTTTGGTTTCAGCTTGGTCCTGGGCCTAGGGAAGACCAGGAGGGTTTGGTGCCCAGGAGGGACTAGATAAGACTAGAGAAGACCTGCTGATTTGTGGGGATTATGAGGGGTGGCTTGGAGGTACCATAGTACCTGGGGGAGGGGGCAGCAATCACATAGTGCCCAAGAGGAATAATCCTACAAATAATGAGGGGTGCACTAAGCTGCCTAGTGGTGCAATCCTAAAGAGGCTCAGCTGCTCAAGAGAGAGTAGAGATAAGGCCTTGGAACAGATAGTGTCCAGGGAGGCTCATTAACTTTGAGAGTACAGAGATAAGGCCTTGGAAGGCAGAACCCTGAAGCTCAGTCCAGTCAGTGGGCTAAAGCTAGAAAGATCAGCAATAGCAAAAAGGGAGGAGGCTGGGAAGGTCAAAATCTGACACTAGAACAATGGCAGGCTCACTCTAAGACCCTAAGGCGGCTTCCCTCCTAATAAACAATAACAAAGATGTGGCGGGAGAGTAAAGGAGGTGAGGGCCCCTAGAATTTGAGTTGGGGCAGGAATTATGTGGGACCCAAGCCTGTCACAGTACCATTAACAGTCTCCTCCTCCTCTCCATAGTTGGGGAAGCCCTTATGACAGATGCATGACAAGGCAGATGAAATGGTTTGCCATCATGTCCTGGATGATCCTGTACACTTCCCAGATTGCCACTCCAGCCATAGACTTGCTCATGCTGAACTGGTTGGCAACAGACACTCTCAGGAATGGCCAGCTTCCAGATGGCTGTGGTGACATACTTTGCCAGAGTCAGGGATGGCCTTATGCCAATGTTCTGCCCTTCAGTGCGAGGGCCAGATGGGTATCAAGATCCATGAAGGCAGCCCAGCACGTGTGGAAGTTTGCACCCACTGCTTATCATCCTAAGTGGCTAAGACAATCTTCTCCCACCAATTGCTGATGGTTTTGCAGACTCCAAACTGCCACTCAACAGTCCAGAGGTGCTCCCACAGCACCCCAGAATCAATGACAGCCAGAAGGACCTTGGTTTTCTCAGCCAGGTGGAAGCAACTGGCTGATTCTAGGGCACTTGGTAGACATAGGGGTCCAGTAAAATGACCCTGGGATACTGAGCTCCAAGTTCCTAGGCAGGGAGGCACATGCCAGTATGTACATCTGCCAGGTCATGTGCAGATATACACAGGTGATGTCCCTCAACCTCTTGTGAGTCACTCAGGGCAACAGGAAGAATATGCTGCAGCTCTTGAGTCCGTGGGCTACTGTACAAGGGGTAGGAATTCATGGCAGGGTCCAGGCAGGAAAAAAAAAAAAAAAATAAAAAATAATGATGTGCTTTCACTTACAAGAAACTTTAGAAGTTTGGGAACTTGCTTTGGTCTTTTCTGGAAGCCTCTGGGCAGGGAAAGAGGGAGGAGTCGTTGTGATGGAGTTCTCCTATAGCAGCCAGCTTGTCAGGATGGCCCTGCCCACATGGATGAATTCAGCAAACTCTAGCAACCCAGGAATCCCATGGGGCATGCTGGGATGTACATGGAGGGGTTCCATCTACAGGTCATGCTTGCTTCCTCCCCTGAATGCTTGCATGGTGCTCTATTGATAGGGGTTTAGGCTGCTCAAACTAAACCATGCAACTTAGATGGGTTCTTTTGAATGGTTGCATATACCCTGATTCTTCTCCATTGTATTTCTGCATTCTGTATTTCTGCTCAGACTATTCAGATGCCTGTTTTTGTTTTAGAAGAATGCCTTTTTTGAAGTGGAAGAAAAAAAAAGATATTTTAATGAGATTTTGTGATGCTGCTAAAAATGACCTCATGTGTTAGAGAAACAATGCTGAGGAGAAACTGGGTTAGCTCAGATTCTCAGCTCTTGTTTACTGGCATGACTTTTGTAATGAAATCATTAGCATGAGTAAATTTCAAGTCCATCAATGTAATACAATATTGCTTTGAAGCTGATTGATAACATTCTTATTTTTAACAGTTTGCAGAGTACATCCTCAATGGATCAACAATACAAGAAAGCAAACAAAGTTTGCTAACGGTATTCTCCCAGCCTGTGTCAACACAAAACGTGCTTCCATCTCCATAGGAGAGATTCAGTAATCCCAACAGATCTATTCTATAATAAGCTTATTTATTATGCATTAGACATTGCTTTTGCTACTTTGGATAAGTGATTCAATTTAATATTATATCACTGCACATATTTTGACTTTGTTTGATGGTGTGGGAAAATGGATAAAATGTGATAAGATTCAGAAATGTGTCATGGACTTAAAACCACATCAGCTAATGGACAAGTGATAGAGCAGAAAACTGAAATTAATAATATTACTTTATGAATGGAATAGACCAGTGTGATATTTTCATGAGACCATCCATCAACGTTCTTTAGAACAATACCCAAGATGTGGAGAAATTTACCCTTGTGCTTTAACAAAATCTAAAAACTTACAACTTTAATTGCAGACTCAATGGAAAATAATGTCTTGAAGCAAATTCAAACAACACCATATTGTGCTATAAGCCAAGAAGAATCCCTTTGCCTACTCACAAATCCAGTGAACTCAATTATTACATTTTAATTGAGAACTTTCTCTCAAAGGCTTACAAGTGAAGTCTTAAACTAATTTACTTTGGTGACAAACTTTATTTGATTTCCAAGTCTAATTTATGGTTATAGTAATATTTTGTTGAGCTTTACCATCTACATTATATATATGTAAATATGAGACCTACAATAAAGGAATTATTTAGTAAGACTTAACATTTTTTTTCCCCTTTACTGATGATGCAGATTTAGAAGTGATGGAATTTTTTTACTGGAATGGTAATATTAGCACAGATTCTTTTGCAAGAATGCATAGCAAATAAATTAATTATGTTATTTTAAATTTCAGCCTATCACTATTTATGCTGTCATGTTAGCTTCTAGCAGTATTGTGTGATGGTGAATTCAGTAGGAAACCAAACTCTCATGCACATACTGTTTGTTCTAATGTTTTCAGACTTCATATAAAGACCACTTACAGAGCTTTACATTTAGTTCTCAAATCACACTAATTCTTTTCACAAAAAAAACAAACAACCCTGAACCAAACACCAAGAAAGATTTTCCACCATTTTGAACTAGCTTTATACAGAGAGTAATTAAGGATGAGGCTAGGTGGGATGAGACTATTTAGTTAATGTGTGATGCAGTACTGCCACCTTGTTTTATGCATCTTTTCTAAACTCACAGTGATACCTACACACTAAGAAATAGAAAGAAAACCAAACTGATAAATTCACTAAATTGGCTCTGTGGGTTCAACTGTTTCCAGGGACTTTAAATCTGTGGCCTCCACACTAAGGTTCTCCCATTTTGTGGAATGTGGTGGTTTAGGAATCAGAAACACAGACAAGAAAGCACAGGAATTCAGAGACTATAAACAGTGTTTATTAACAGTTGCTAACAATTAATTAATTTGGAGGGGAAAAACATTACTAATTTTACACCAAAGCTATGTTATGAAAGAAATATTGAGGAGAACGTAGGATATGGTGCGCATCTTCACTGTGGAGGGTAAAGTCTATTATTCTATTATTACTACAATAAAGTAACTCTAAATCATCACTCCAATGCTTCTCAGGATCACAGAGGCCAAAAGCAATAAAACAGAATTGGGATCAGGTTTTGATATTGCTCATTACACCTGCAAATCAAGTCTCTTAGGAGCAGGATGGAGGAAAGTCTTTGGACCCTGTTCCTTTCCACCACTACAAGATATAATAATCTGGCCATTGTAATATTAAAGGAAACTGCATCATCATCGTCCTGAACAGTTTTAAGTGATGCCTGCACAACAGAGACTATCATGGTGGTATAAATTCTGTTGAACTAAAACAAGCCTGAAACCACAGCAGGTTTGCCCACTTAAATGGAGAAAGCACAATCTGTTATTCTTTTAAAATGTGGACATGAACACACATTCAGGGATTCATAAAGTTTCAGCCATGAGAGCCCTATTATTTTTATCATAATATTATGGTTAGTTAATGAAATATTTCCCTATATTACTTTGAAAATAAAACTGCTAACAAAAAGATGAGGAGGAGGATGGTGATAAATCAAGAAAATTCACTTTCTAAAGATGTTAGACACAAGATGCTGAGTGCATTGTTCAGCCTCATTAATAATACTTCAATAATTCTTAACAGCTGTAAATGGAACTGGTTCCATTTGTATCAGTGATACTCTCCACCAGTGGAAATTCCCAATTCTAACTATCTGGGGAGGCCTAACTGTTTAAAAACTCTTTACTTAAAGACAAATACAGCATCAGAAAGTAACTATACACTATGCTTTGGGATTTACTTACTGGGAAGTGAAGTTGTAGTAGCAACGGTTGGAACCAAAGTTGGTTCTGGATATATGCTTTCTTTACAGATTCCACTTGTTAGACTGATGTCATCCAGGGCAATATCACTTAGACCACGTGTCTTGTGAGCTTCAAAAATCACCTGAAATTCATGAAACAAACATTTAGAATTTAACAGCAAGTTTTCTGACTTCCTGTGCTTTGGTAAGAGTTTCAAATGTTTCCCTGCATTTTCTAAATGTTACCCTAATATCTTTTTTTACTATTGCATTCATAATGGGTCACTGATGGTCAGAGATGTAGTAAGCTCATTAAGCACCCCAGGGCAGGGGGTTGGGAGGCGACATACTAACCACTGTAGAACAAGTGGTGGGGAAGAGCAGGAAAGTGGGTGAGTGAAAAGGAAGGTTTACCTTCCTGGGCTACTGCTACCATTGCTGCTGTCAGCTGCCCAGTATCTTGTATCCTGTTCACTTCATGTATACGTATTGGGTGCAGAGCTGTGCCCTCTTTGGCAAAGGTTCCCTGGGACATGGAGCCCTATTCTACTTGCTCCACTCATCCCTCCCCCTGAGATAGTGCAGTGCCACACCAAGCAGTGTGTCTGGCTTCTATGTACTGGGGAGGGGCAGTGCAAGGCTACCCCTGCCACAGTAAAAACTCCTGGGGTAATTCTGGTACTTCCTCATAGTTGGCACCTGTGGTTGGTGCCCTGTTCACCTACCCCTAATTGGTATATGATGATTGCCCAGTTTCTGGAAAGCTCTCCAAAAAAAATGCAATCTGTGGCTCATGCTTAGAAATCAACAGATCTCTCATATACCTCTTACCATCATCTGATTCACATCACTGAAAATATATGTTCATCATCTATTTTAATAGTTATTTTATGCAAAAGATTACCAAATCTACATGGACAAAATTTTATTTTAGCCTTACTGGCATAGCTTCATAGCCTTTTTAGGAGTTGCACTAATCTCATCAATAGCTCATCATTGCTATAGTCCCATTTAATGTAGGTAATGTAGTGAATAGCAGGTATCCAATATTTTTACTGGAGTTACAGGGAAATCCAGGGTTCCTAAAACCTGGCATACCCACGTTATAAACTTTATTTCTCTATTTTTCCTCCAATGGCTTCTAATCAAAACCACCAGAACAAAACAGGCCATCCCTAATGCTTATATAATGACTGCATTGTCCAGTCCAGGATGGCTGAAGGAACTGTCCACTATTCACTCCTAAAAAAAGTCACTCTTTTGATTTATGGTACAAATCTAAATCTAACATCTAAATCTAAATCTGTTACCTTCTGGAGCTAAGTTCCAATATGTAATTTTATAAAAAATGAAAGATCTGGTCTTGACATCTTTAGTGCACCTGGTATGAGTTCCAGCAGAGAAATATGCTCCGTACTTCATTCATTGTAAAGGTATTCCTAATTATTATCAGATTTAGATGTTCTGAAACTTCCTTTACTTTGGAAAAGAGCTATATGATGATACCATTGGCTGTTGCAAATCATTAATGTTTTCTTGTTTCACTATAATAATAATTAGAAACTAGAAGGTATACAATCCAATATTAAATTCCTATTCTTCTACACATCAGTAAACATTTGGTAGTATGCATTAGTCAAGAGAAAAGGAAATTATCTTTGCAGATGTGGAACACTACAGATAAATGACAAAAATGGCTGGGAAGAAGTTGAAGTTTAAATGGCCTAAAATGTATTAATTGAATAGCAAACCTGAAAATCAGATGTCTCATTTAATGTTATTTGACCATAATTCCAGTTATTTCCATAATTTCCTTCCTTCTGGAAAACTGTCTTTTTTATCATGTCACTTTTCATGATGTTAACACTTAAACGATACACATTAACACCATACATATGATACCTAGAAAGGAGAGAGGTAGCTAGTTGTGTTAGTCTGAAGTTAGGTATAAAGTCAGGATAGAATTGCACCTTATGGACTAACTAGAACAGATATGCATAAGCTTTCATAAGCAGTACTTCACTTTATCAGATGTTATCAAGGGACTGCAGGAAGCAAAATTCTAAATAGAAATGAGTGATTTGACTGCCTGTATAACCAGAACATAGAATTTCACTCCAGTCTTCCTCCATCTTGTCCAGCATTTTTCTATATGCAAAATATAGTCTTCATTGAGTTTAATGGCAAACTTCATAAGTCTGTGATGGAAATCCAAACTCTTCACAGAAGTGGCTTATATTGCTGCTATGTGCACTTTGCACCAAGCCACAATATCATTTATTAAAATAGAACATTTCAGTGTAATTATAGTTTAAATTAGAAGCTAGATTTAGTAATTATTTCTTAATGGTTAGATTAAGCAAATATTCAGTTTAAAGATGCAACATACCAAAAACTTAGGCAGATGGGATCTGAAGCTGAAACTAAAGGCAAACTAAAAAGCTGGACTATAGCTTGCCCACCTCCAAGTTCTGTGGGTGTTGAAATATAAAATCCTGTAAAATAAAAAGTATCTTTTATTGGATATCAAGTTTGTGATGTTTGCTGATCAAACTATATTATTACAGCTAATAAAAACACCAAAGGATAGTGTTAATAGCGAACGGCATTAAGCATGCTACAAGTCAGTATGAGCTAAATCAGGTTAATACTTAACCATAAGATTAAGCAGACAAGGTTCCTTGGGTGAATCTGATATCTTTTATCAGACCAACTCAAATAGTTGGAAAATAATTATCAGAGGAACAACACCAACACCTTACAACATTCCAACCTCAGACTTGATGAAACTGAAAGCAACAACCAACCCATAAATATTATCAATCTCTCCACACATGCGCTTACCAAAACTGAAAAATCTATCCTTTCCAAAGGCCTAAATTTCTGTCCAGAAAAATACCCTAATAAATTATTACAATGTGGACAACTAGAAGAATTCTTCTGACGCCTCCGCCTCAAGGAATTTTTCCACGACCAAACTGAACCCACTCCCAACAACAACTCATCCTCTGACAACATTCAGGAAAAGATCAACACCAAAAAGCCCAAAAAACATCAGATTGGACACCTCCAGTGCATGAAACCCTAAACTTGACCACTACATTGACTGCTTCAGGGAAAGAATGAACAATGAAATAATCAGCAACACACGCCACCACAACAACCTCTGTCTACCAGAGAAAAAGGCCATAGAATCTCTAAGATCTAACCACCAAATAGTAATAAAACCAGCAGATAAAGGAGGAGCCAGTGTCATCCTAAACCGTGAAGACTACATAAAAGGAAGCCAACAGACAGCTCTCTGACACCACCTACTACAAAGAAGTACAAGATCCTACTCCCCTTTTCACCAAAAAACTCAACAATACCAACAAATCATTTCCATCAAGACAAGAAAAACTACAGACTTTGATCCCCCCCCACTACCTAACCCGGGGACTTTTTACATGCTCCCTAAAATCCACAAACAAGGGAACCCTGGCAGACCCATCATATTCAACAATGGGACCCTAACTGAGGAAGTATCAGGTTTCGTTGAATCAATCCTAAAACCGCTTGTCACCCACAGAGCAAGTTTTGTACAAGACACTACAGACTTTCTATGGAAACTTAAAAACATAGACCACCTTCCCAGCAACACCCTCCTAGCCACCATGGATGTAACCAGCCTATATACCAACATCCCACACCAGGATG